CAACCAAGAGTTTGCATGTGATTTGACTTGAATTGTAAATAAAAGCAGGTTTTGGAAGCGGGGGTGTGTTTGCAGGGGGTCTGTCCCCCTTCCCTTGTTCGCTGTCACCACGGGGATGTCCCCAGCAGGGGAAGGGCACAGATGGGCAGGTTTGGGGTTGGGGTCACGTTGTCCATGTCCCAGAGCAGACGATGGGGACAGCACCCCATGGGGCTGCAGAGCACCCCAAAACCCCCAGCTGAGAGGGAGTGTGCAGGATCCAGGTGAGTTTCCTTAGGGAGAGGATATTCCTCTTCCCAGCCCAAATCCCGGCCCAAATCCCCAATGCCGATCTCCCTTAGGGCAGGGCAGGGCTCAGCTCCAGCTCAGCGCTGTGGGATCCCCGCGGCTGCAGCTCCAGCCCCGTTCCCTGCTCGCTCTGTCCCACTCCTCCTCCTCCTCAAGGAGTCCCCTGGGTTGTGCCCCTGGGGTGGCCGAGCTGGGGTCACCCAGGGTGGGGTCCCTGCAGGGCCCGGGTGTGAAGGGGGAGGCGGGACCCCCGCGTGTCCTGTCCCGCTGTCCCTGTCCCCGTCCCTGCCTGCGGGGCTGCTGCCCTCTAGTGCCGGATCCACCTGGAATCCTTGGGATGAGCAGGAACCTTAAATCCCATCCCATTTCACTGGTCAGAAACAGCACCCACTGTCCCAGGGTGCTCCAAGCCCCATCCAGCCTGGCCTTGGACACTTCCAGGGATGCGGGGGCAGCCCCAGCTTCTCTGGGAAATCCATTCCAGGGCCTCCCCACCCTCACAGGGCAGAATTCCTTCCCATTATCCCATCTCTCCCTGCCCTCTGGCAGTGGGAAGCTGTCCCTCAATGTCCTGATCACCTTCTCCAGAAGGATCCCCAGGGACTGTGCTGCCATTTTTGGGATGATGAACTGGCTGGGTGCCTTCCCCCTGCTGGGACAGAGTCTGGATCTCCCACGGAGCTGCACAGAACAGTTATTTGTGGAGTTTCCACCCCACAGCTCCTGCTCTGGATTGATGCTGCACCCTCCTCACCAAACCCATTCATGTCAATGATCAGTAATGAAGTTTTTCATCAAAGCCAAAACTGCTGCAATTTCCCCAGAATAATTAATGCTCTTTAAATTTTTCCCTCCCTTCTTTAAAATATTTTGAAATACAAATGATTCCCAGAACCTGAAACATGCAGGGAGGGAGAAACAATCAAAGATTACCAACAATTATTTTCAGTGACCTAAAAACCAAGTGAGGTCAACCCCAATTTCCCCAGCACATTCCTGCTCATTCCCACCAACATCCATCCCACTGTGCTGGAGCTCCAAGAACAAGACATAAAGCAAACAAAGGGTTTGAGGCATATAAAAAAATAACTAATATTTTATAACAAAGAAAAAAACCAAGCAGTTTACAAAAAAAGAATGGACAATAAGCCAGGAGCTTTGGTGCTGGGATCAGACCGTGCTGGAGCTACTCCAAAATCCAGAGAAAAAGGAGTTACCCAGGCTCAGGACAGAGTGAGGAAAGGAAAACCTGCAGGATGCTGAGCCCAGGGATCAGGCTCTGGGATTGCTCCTGGAATTCCCAACCCTGCAGAGATTTCCCAGCTCTCCACAGTAGAACAATGGCAAGGTGGCTTCCTAATAAAAGCCAGGCTTTTTCCTGTGGATCTCAAGGATTCCCACACCCTCCCAGCCCAGCTGACCCCTTACATCAAGCAGCCACACAGGTCCCAGGCACACAGATATTCCAAAAAGCCAAAGTTTCTGTGCCTTTTCCCTGAGTTTTGGCTGTGAGGGTGGGTGAAAGGCCAGCCAGGTACATTCGTGTTAAATTTCAGGTGGTGCAGCAGGAGCTGAGTGTAGAAACCCTTCAGTCAGCACTCAGAAATGGAGATGTTTTTAATGGAGAGTTTGGGAACCTTTGTGTGATTTCACAAGGAGTGAAGAACAAATGAGAATTTGAATTCAGCTGATCCCACACAGGGTGCCCAGAGCAGCTGGGGCAGTGCCCAAGCCAGGCTGGGCAGGGCTGGGAGCACCCTGGGACAGTGGGAGATGTCCCTGCCCATGGAATGAGATGGTTGGAGGTCCCTTCCCACCCAAACCATTCCCTGAGCTGTATGATCCTGCAACAAACACCAGGACACAAATGGAACTTGTGTAAGGCTGCAGGAAAAACAAACATTTTCTTCCCCAGCCAGCACAGATCACCTTCCACAGGAGCCCTGTGCTCTTCTCCCTGATTTTACTGGGATCAAATCCCTGGCTGTGTCCAGAATTTCAGCTCAGGTCAGCTGAGTTTAGAGACAAACACAGATCTCCCCAGCCAAGCAATCACTGAATCTGCAGTGCCACACAGGGAACCCACCTTGGAGTGCTCAGATCTCAGGATCCAGCAATGACAGAGCAGGATTCAAAAGGCAGGGAAGGGCTTGGGGCTGTCCAGCACTTCCAGCCAGGCTCACAAGGGGATCAGAGAAAAATTGGAATTGGAAAAAAATTCCAATTGAAAAAAAAAAAATCCCAAAAATTGGAAATTGGTTTCTCTGGGAAGAAAGCAGGGCTGGAAGGGTGTGTTGGGGTCAGGGTGATGGTCTCTGATATCCTGGGATAAACCCTGACACCATGACCTGATCTGAAGGATCTGAGCAGCTCTCCCTGTGCTCCACAGAGCTGCTTGCTGGGAAGCCAGAGCACTTCCAAAGCTGTGTCTCCATGAGCTCCCACCCCCAGGGAAGGTGCAGATACCTCGTTATTTTACAGAGCATTTATTGAGCGTGCAGGATCCATTCCAAGCCCCCATCCCCGGGGTGCAACTTCCACAGGGGCTCCACTCTGCATTATCCTGCTCCCAGGCTGTGTGGCAGCATGCACAGGGAAAAGAGGGAGCACAGCATGCATGGAAAGGGGAGAATTCCCCCAAAATGACAGCAGTGCAGCCATGGAAAATGTAACATGGAATATTACAGAGATCCAAGTGTGACTGAAGGAAGTGTCTCTTTGGTAACAGAGAGAAAACGCCAGACAAACAACAAATATCCCTATTCCACCCTCAAATTTACATCTCAAGGCTGGAGGCTGACTGACAGGCCTGACAGCATCCAGAGGGTGCTGAGGAGGTGCAGGAAGGGGGCAGTGGGACCCACCCTGAGGCACAGAGCTGTGCTTGCTGCACCTTCCATCCCTGGGACAGGGACAGGGACATGGGGCACAGGGACAGACAGAGCCTGGTGACAGCACAGCTGTGTCCCACATGGAGTTGGGTACACACACCAGGGCTGTGCTGATGCTCTTCCCCTCTCCCAGAGCATTTCCCAGCACCTGGGGAATCTCTGATTGTGAGCACAGAGCTGACCTGGGCTCTTGGCACTCCAAGGGATCCCAGCGGAAGGAGCAGAGCGCCCCTGCTCTGCTCTGTCATTGTCATTAAACATGGAGTAAAACAAAAACAATTCCCCTAAAAGGGGCAATTCCATGGGACTGAAATGCCCCCCAGACCTTCCCATACACCCCCAGGCCCAGCCAGTGGATTCCAATCACATCCCTTGGAACAAACCTGTGCTGCAATCCCAGATGGATTTCAACTCTTCCAGACACCGTCCCCAGGCTGTCCCCACAGTGGAGCAGTCTCAGTGGGGGCTGTGACACAAACCAGGGGCTCAGTGACCCCAAACCAGGGGCTCAGTGGCCCAGGGAGTGCCCTGAACCCACAGATCCACCACAGATCCTGCACAGAGTCAGGCTGAGTCCAGGAGTCCCAGGAGAGCTCCAACTGCGCCGAAGTAACCCTGAGGAGCAGATGGGGACAGGCAGTGACAATCCATGGATGTGTTCCCTGCCACAGCAACAGCAACGCCCACAGAACCAGGGAGTGGCTGGGGCTGGAAAGGACCCTACAGACACCCAGAGCCACCCCTGCCATGGACAGGGACACCTCCCACTGTCCCTGCTGCTCTAAACCCCAAGGTCCAACCCAGCCTAGACATTAACAGGGATCCAGGGGCAGCCACAGCTACTCTGGGAAATCCATTCCAGAGCCTCCTCATCCTCCCAGGGAAAAATTCCTTCCCAATATCCCATCCATCCCTGCCCTCTGGCAGTGGGAGCCATCCCCTGTGTCCTGTCACTCCAGCCCCATGTCCAAGTCCCTCTCCAGCTCTATTGGAGCCCCTTTAGGCACTGGAAAGTCTCCCTGGAGCCTTCCCTTCTCCTGGGAGAGTTTAATTTTAACAACATATAAATGAGAGGAGAAAGATACAACTACAGGGAGGAAGAAAGGAGAAGGAAGAAAANTGGGGCTGTTCCCTGGAGGCTCCCTGGTCCCTTCCAGCAGGAAAGGGAGATCCTGGAGCTTGGGCAGAAAAATTTGGGAAGGCTTTAGGGGAAATTTCTTCCCTGTGAGGGTGATAAGGCCCTGAGAAGCTGTGGCTGCCCCTGGATCCCTGGAAGTGTTCAAAGCCAGGCTGGATGGGCCTTGGAGTACCCTGGGACAGTGGGAAGTGTTCCTACCCATGGCATGGGGTGACACTGGATGGTTTTTGAAGGTCCTTTCCAACCCAACCCATTCCATAATTCCCTGATTTCAGCCAGCTGGTGGTTTTTATTTGCAAATGTTGCTCCCTGGGCACTGACACTCCCTGTGCATCCCCCGCTGCAGATCTGTGCCGTGTGCCTGGAGGAGTTCAAGCCCAAGGACGAGCTGGGGATCTGTCCCTGCAAACATGCCTTCCACAGGAAGTAAGTGTGGGCAGGAAAAGGGAAAAGGGGCAGGAAAAGCCCCTTTGGATCACCTGGGGCAGCTGCAGAACTGAGTGACACTCTGGGCAGCTGGGGTGGGATTTGTAGGATGCCCCGTGCTGAGTCAGCACTTTGATCCTCATGGATCCCTTCCAAGCCAGTCTGTCATTCCATGAAAAATGTAAATATATATATTTTATATTGGTGTGGTTTATAGAAAGCAAACCCATAATAATAATAATAATAATAATAATAATAATAATAATAATAATAATAATAATAATAATAATAATAATAATAATAATAATAATAATAATAAATATACTATCTACTATATACTATATACTATATACTATATACTATATACTATATACTATATACTATATACTATATACTATATACTATTCCATATGCTAAAACTACACCATATCCTACTACATATTACAGATATTTTTATATTATCTGTATGTTTATATATACATTATATAGATTTAAAACACATATATACATTATATAGATTTAATTATAAATATATAATTAAAAATTATATATTTATATATATTTTTTACATATTTATACATTTATATATACACTATACTATAAATGCTGATATACTATCTAAAACTATATTTATATATAATATATATTATAATACATATTTTATATATTATATATAATTATAATTACATAATAGATAATATATATTATATATAATGTATATATTAAATGTATATATACACTATGCTATATATACTGGATATACTATCTAAAACTATAGTATATATATTATAATATATATATATTATAATATATATATATATATTATAATATATATTATAATATATAACATAATTATATGTAATACATAACATCCATAATGGTGTGATTACATCCGAGTTATTTACATAATTTTTATTTTTATTTATCCATACACGTGATATACATGATTGTGGATTATTGGTATATTATTTACAGATTCTGTGTCTATAATTTCACAGACACCTTTTATGTATACATTTTGTTTATTTTTGGTAGGTATATGCATTTTCTATCCCTATTATATAAATATAACATATACCTATAACTATAGTCTATAAACATATATTATATATAAATATAAATAATGAACAAAACATATCTATACAAAGTCCCTGTATATAAACACAGAGAACCCCCTCAAAAAATCCCAATAAAACATAAAGGCACCCAAATGGTGAATTAAAAACTGGGCAGCAGCAAAGCTCCAGGGCAGGGTAAAGGGGCTTGGGGGGGTTTTGCAGCTCCACATCAATGTCAGGTGTGTCCCCAGTGATGTCAGGTGTGTCCCCAGTGATGTCAGGTGTCACCACTGATGTCAGGCACGTCCTCACTGATGTCAACTGTGTCCCCACCTGTATCAGCTGCATTCCCACTGAATCAGGTGTGTCTGCAGTCATGTCAGGTGTCCCCAGTGATGTCAGCTGTGTTCCCACCTGTATTGGGTGTGTCCCCCTCAATGTCTGGTGTGTCCCCACTGACATCAGGTGTGTCCCCAGTGATGTCACCTGTGTCTCCATCAGTGTCAGGCATGTCCTTACTGATGTGAGATGCGTCCCCCATGATGTCAGGCATGTCCCCATCAATGCC